ATATTCTGATGATTTATTTACAAATGATGAATAAATGAGACTTTATATTTCACACTATTATTATAGAAAGTGTAATGTAGTGAATAGAAACCTGAGTTTATGATGAAGTGTGCAGGAAAGATGAAATATGATAAAGTGTGTGTTTCTCATGAATAATGTTTTGCAAAAGAAATACAAAGTCAGTTATTTATTAAAATCTACAGTTTTATTTTCCAATGATTCAGTTATTATATGACATTTAAAAATAACAGCTTTTAAGCAGAATACGAGTAACAGAAAGCTACAAAGGAAAGCAGAGTCATGAGTTTGCAGAAATATGTGAACAGAGGAGATCTGCAGCTTCATCAAGATCTCTATCAAAGAAGCAGCATCATTTCCAGACAGGAAGTGTTGCTGAAGCTCTACTCTGAGCAGCGGTCAGGGTCCAGGGTTTGAGTGACAGGGCTCTGTCCACTCAGACTGGCCTCACAGCTCACTGAGCCCGCCTTCCTCCACTGGTCTGCAGATAGGCTCAGGGTGCTGCTCCAGCTGTAGTGGCCGTCCCTCCCCAGGACCTCCAGGCTGTGTGACACCCCTGAGGAGCTGCTGCTGCCCCCCACCTTCCAGCCCAGACTCCAGGTTGAGGGGAAGCCCCCGCTGGCCAGACACACCAGTGTGGCACTGTCCTTCTGCAGCTCCTCTCTGGAGGGGGGGAGGACGGTCAGGGTGGGACGCACCATACCCACTGGAGGAGAGGAGGGGGGAGGAGAGGGGGAGAAAAGAGAAAGTAATAAGAGTGAAGGCTTGGTAACAAATACAAACTACATACTAGTAATTTTCTATATTTGATCCAATAAAACAGAATAACTTGTGCTGATGTTGCACTCATAAATCACTCAGTATCAAACCATCAGACACATGATTCAAGTGTAAATGCAACTAAAAAGGTTAATTGATGATGACTATTGATGACATCTTCATCTGTGTTTCATAATGTGTGACAGTGAATAACTCATCCCTGTGATGATTTTCTTCTGTTTAAACTGACAGAGCTGAAACACTCATGTGAATACAGTTAAAACCTTTGTCATCTGTCTCTTTCACTTCCTTTTCACTACATGTAAAATTAATGAACCTTGAACACAAAGATAAGCTTCCTTTAACGATAAGATCATGTTCATGTTTAACAATCACATTTTAAAACAGTTTTAATATTAATTATTGAAATTAATTAATTAAATTGTTTTCAGTTAAACAATTTCAATTTATTTCTATACATTTTTAATGTTAAATAAATTTTGGTTTCTGTGAGGTTTACTCTCAGATGGTAAGATCAGCCTTATTTGCTAAAATAACACAAATAATCAGCAACATACAAAAACTGAACTGATCAGAGTCTCATTCAATATTTGACAATAGTTATATTTTCAATATGTTGTATAAAATAAAAATCTCTGGTACTTACAGTCAACGATGAGTTTGGTTCCTCCACCAAAAGTGTACCACAGTGATACAATTTCATTAAGTGGCCGTACAAAAACCTCCTGCACTGTGAACAAGCATCTATCCACTGAAAACACTCTCTGATCTTACTAATAACAAAGAAAGAATATAATTTATTGAATCTACAAAGTTTTTGAAATTATATGGATTGAAATTATTGAACAATTTAAGGTTTTTTATTTAATTTTGCTTTACTTTTCTACACCTGACGGAGAAAGGATTACAGTCTCCTTGTTACAAAGTCATTTTTTATACAGTTTTATGTCAGTTTATGAATGCTTAAATAAATATGATGTTTTTTATACAAACTCACATTAAACTGAACTAAAATGTGTTATTTATCTACAGTAAACTAGAACGTAAAAACTACTGTAAGTAAATTAATAGACAGACAAACAGACATATCATACCAACCACAGTGGTCACAAACTTATCCTTAAATCCTCAACTGCACTTCTAATATAAATATTTCCTTGTATTCCATTAAGATCATAGATGGTGTAAATCCAAGCAGTATTTCTCCTGATTTTGTGTCCCACGTTGCCTTCAGTGTGTTGAGAGCAGAGAAATCATTTCCATAGAGAGGAGGCTTTGCATCGTCAGCTGATCCTCCAGTGAACTGAGAAGGTTTATAGTCCTGTGAGTTCAACACTGCAGGACTCAGATCTGTCAGTCAACACAGCAGAAACCACAACCACCATGACTCTCATCACCATCCTCATCTGGACGCTGGCCTGCTGCTGTTTTACAGGTTCATTCACTCAGCAACATTTCAAACATGATGTGCTGCCTTTTCTCTCATTTCTTTCTGCTGATAAATGAATGATTTGTTTTTGTCTGCAGGATGCAGCGGTCAGGTGACTGTGACTCAGCCTCCTGTAAAGACATTTACTCCAGGATCCACTATCACTATCAGCTGTAAAACAAACCAAGCGGTTGATACATGGTCTGCTGGTGAGAGTATGCACTGGTATCAACAGAAATCTGGACAGATTCCAAAGCTCCTAATAAGACATGTCAGCACACGTGAATCAGGAACACCAGCTCGGTTTAGTGGCAGTGGAAGCAGGACTGACTTCACTTTGACCATCAGTGGAGTTCAGACTGAAGATGCGGCCATGTACTACTGTAAGGGTCAATATATCATAAACAGTGCTTGGGTGTTCACACAGTGATTTGTCGTCGTACAAAAACCTCCCTCAGTCAGACTGCAGAGACACTGAGCTGTTACAGCAGGAACCGACTGCAGCTGCTGAAGAGGAAGAGACTCTGACACAGACCACTGAACACAGAGCTGACATGTTTTTTTTTGTCACGTGTCAGTATTCACAGCAACGAGTAAATTATTAGATTTCATGACGGTTCCAATGTGAAACTGTCAAATAAAGTAGACGATGAGGTGAATAAAATCTGAATAATAAAAAGAGTAGACAATACAACTACACATGTTAAAAATAATTTTATACAAAAAAGCAGAATTGACCTATACTGACAAATATCACTGAAGGTGACGAGGTGTATGCAACTGTACATGGATGCTCAAAAATGCTTTATAGGAACAAGAAAGCATGCATTTTTTATATATAATATATTCAAAGACAGCAATTTATTCAAATCTATTATCTATCTATGCCATCTTAAAAATATTTGAGTATTTCTCCTCTATATTTCACTGGAGTATTTATTTATTTATTTATTTATTTATTTATTTATTATATTATATCGTATTATTATTCTCATTATTATTATTACTTTTTAACAGCTGTAGTTATGTCTTATGATAGGTGTCATAATATTTATAGATACTATTAATATTAAAATTACATATATAATATTGACTGACTGGGGTCATTCTGCTTTGGTCAATAATACTTCAAAACTTTTTACTGGAGGTTTTTACAGCAAATGAACTGAATAGGCCAAGGCTCTACCTTCCAAACCTCTACAGATCTGTAATAAAAAAACTCTCATTTTGCAGTTATTTCGCTTAAATTCACAAGAGGGCAGCATTGATCCGATTTTGATTTTGCGAACAGGTATTGAAAGTGTAATTCCTGTCGACACAGGTGAACGTTTAAGTCAATTTGAATAATATTAAGCAACACTGCACATCATTCACAGGATGTCAGGTCTTGTGCAGCGTCCACTCCTCTACCTCAGAGACCACAACAGTGCTGAGTCCACTTCCAACCACTTAATCCCTCTAAAACAAAGCTGTTGCGTTGCCAAACCAGAGATGTTTCCGCGTTCTTTATTGGGGAAGTTGATCTTTTGGCCATCGCGGAAGGAAAGACGCACAAGTCTGCAGCGCTCTACAAAAAACAGATTGTATTTTCTTTATAAAAAAAAAGGTGTCATGATTCAGTTGTTATTGCGCTATATTCATGTTTGCGCACTTGTAGGTTGCGGGGATTACTGCGCGCTCGTTCCTCGCTGCTCTTAAAATGAGTGATCGGAGTAGAAACGCTTTAAAAACAATACTTCAGCTGGTCTGTCAACTTCTGTGGGTATGTAAAACTGTATCAGTGTTGCTGCATTGTCTGCATTTTGCACTGTGTTTGTATTCTGCCACTAAACATCATGAAGTTACCATCTATGCCAGTTCTCATTATATTATTTATGTTTAAAACAATAGAACAGAGCTACAACAATACACTCCTAATGTTGTGTAAAAATATATTGCCCTCTATAATATACATGTACTTTTGAGTCTCATGTGTCACATGTCATGTGACACAAGAGTGGATGTGAGCGCGTGACAGGAACTAAGTATAAACACTGCGCACACCTGAAGATGAAGATGAATTTAACGACCTAATTTGATTTGATTTGAATAATGAACTATATTGTTGTTTTTTGGGCTACTTTTCTGGAATGTGTTTCTTTTTTGTGATTTACTCTTTTTGTCATGCAGTTCAGTTTAAGGCATGTTCTTTGAGTTTTTGGATAAGGTCAGTAACAGGCACACAGGTTAAGGACAGTAGGAGAGATCAACTCTCTCAAGTCCATGATTGCTTGATCCTCAGTTTAACCACTAAAAAACATTGAAATATGAAGCTTACAATCTCCCATTTTGGTTGGTTTCTCATTATATGCCAAAAAAAACAAAAACGGAAAGAGGCTTCAAATATTGTCCTGAAAGCATGATCTGCTATTTGAACTTGCAAATAAACACCAAACATTTAGAATTAATTGAACTGAATAAACAAATAGTTTTTAGGAAGGAATAGTTTTGCGGGAAATATTTGCTTTCATGCTCTGAGTTAGATTGTAAGACTGATACTGTTTTTGTTTGTTAAATATAATATGAACCTAAAGTCAGGAGATGTTTTGCTCATGCAGCAATATCCCGTCTTAATATATTTTATTGAGTTCAGACGATACACTCACACTGTCTGTTGTGTAGGTGCTGGGGTTGGTGGTAGGCCTCAGTGGAGTCTACCTGCTGATGAACTACAGACAGAGAAGCTTATTTTTTTCTCACGCCTACATTACCCTGCCCGCTGTCTTCGCTCTCGCCAGCGCTGTGTTCCTGGTGGTCAGCGGTTGCCTCGGCTCCTGGCTGAGCCTCAGGGATTCCACCTTTCTGCAGGGATTGGTAAGATTCTGTGTGTGTGTGTGTGTGTGTGTGTGTGTGTGTGTGTGTGTGTGTGTGTGTGTGTGTGTGTGTGTGTGCGTGCGTGTGTGTGTGTGTGTATCTATAAGTGCATCAGTATTTGGACTGTACATAATAAACTGTTTTCTTCTCCAGTTTGTTTATCTGCTAGTTTTGGTCATTTGTCTGGAGAGTACGGCTTCAGCGTTGGCCTATTTTCACTCTACAGAGGTATGCAAGTTACACAAAAATGAATGTGCACTGGGCAGTTTTTGCGTTTTCATGACACTGCAGATTATTATTATAAAATTGCATGTTGACGACCTTGTGTGTACTTCCTTTTTGTTTAGCTGCATTCAGAGATAGCTCCTCTCAGTAGAGTGTTTCAGGGATACAAAGGCAGCAGCCAGGACCCCAACTCTCGAGCTGTTGATGCTACACAAGAAGAGGTGTGTGTTCTGTCATATAAGTCATGTGATTTGGGTCACATACCCCAAGCATGTTCATATCTGGTACGCAAAATGTGTAAAACAATAGGAGGGACATGAATACGAGCAAGTATTCAAGTGCCAGTTCAACGAAAATAGAAATCTCCCATCTTCCCTTACTGGAAATAACAGTTGGCCCTCATTTGCTCCACATTATGAATGCAAACCTCAGGCCTCAAATCATCCTCAGGAGAAAAACCAAACCAAAATCATGTCTGTTGTGCTTCAAACTGAAGAGATATTTTGGTTTGATTTTATTCTGATTAGATAGTGATAGGGTATCTTCTTGTTCGATTCCTGTTAGTTGCACTGTTGTGGTGTCCATGACTACAAGGATTGGCTGGAAACCTCCTGGTTTAACCGTACTGGAGGACTCTCGGTTCCGTCCAGCTGCTGCAACTCTACTTTCCGCTCCTGCAATGGCACTGTGGACCAACCATGGCAGCTTTACACACAGGTAGACATGTGCATCAAAAAAGCTCCAGGGTGGATGTTTAAACAGATCCCCTCTGTTTCTCTGTCTTTATTTTGAATGTCTCTCTCTTTCAGGGCTGCCAGGTGAAGCTGGAGATGGCGTTGCAGTTTGTGCTGAGCTTTATCTTCTGGAGCGCCCCAGTGGTTTTTGGGGTGGAGGTGCGTAAGACTGCACAACATTTTCAGATTCACACATCCAGCATAACAGGGCAACATTAGCATTTATTTGTCATGTTTCTGACCACCCAGTGAATTTAAGTCCAACATTGACTCCCCTTTTAGCTCCGTTTTTCTGAGGGAAATATCTGTCTCTTTGGCTGCTAAATGGTCCACTAATACGTTTGATGTTAGCCAGTTAGCGTACTATGGTTGCCACTAATTATATTTTATACACAGCACTCTTCATTACAAATTAACACTGACATTTTGATTAATTGCACTCTGAAGTACGGTGGCATTTAATTATTCGAATGAAAAAATTAATCAGTTAAGTTTCAGGAGTTCATTCGTGAACTTTTTTTAAATTTGGCAGTTAATCTTCCACTTTTCTTTCCTCTTATCATGCAGGTTGTTCTGTTTCTGGTGGTGGCACAGCTGATGAGGGACCAACTATTAATGCGAAATCAATATCAAGTACTGGATAAACACTAAAGACGCTGTGGGAAATGAGAGAGCTTCAAACAGATACGATAATACTGCATAGCATGTCAAATCACAGGGCGTAAATGTGCATCACATTTTAATTGGGATTGTTATTAGAATGGTTGTTCCTGTTGTTAATACAGCTTTATTCTATCCCATTACACAACATGTAACATAAAAGTGGTAAAAGATATTAATTATTGGTATTTAAGATGCCAAAAAGATAACAATAATTTCTGGGAAACTGGTTATTGCTTTAAATATACTGTTGCATGTCAGGTCAGTTCTTCATGATGTTTCACATCTTCTGTTTGGTGAATATGAGTTGCCATCAGGTTTAAGGTATAGGCCTTACCTACAGATCACCTTTTACTGTCTCTATGTGAAATTTTTAATTTTATTTGTCTGAAATTGCCACAAGCAGCAAGTTAATTTCTGAATTTCTAAAACTAAAGCTAATTTGTTTGCACTGTGCTGATATTACACTTGTATTGCATATGTCATAATCTTATATTTATATTTCCCTGTCTCATTCTGTATATACACTCATACATTGTACCTAAAATTAGAGTGTCTCTGCAAACATTACAATATACCAAGTATGTGTACTACATACCACACTGTACCTGAACCTGCACCTCAATACACTGATTAATCAGCATCTTGTTTAAGCTCTAGTCTTTGTTTTTATCATAATGGACACTTATGAAATAATTGTAGTGCTTCCAAAATGATTAGTGATCCTGTTGATTATTGCAAAATTGAATACTGAAATAATTGTTTTATCTTTCCTAAACTTATTAAAACCTAATATGTATTATAAGTATTGAAAAGTTAAAACTGAGCTTTATTATGTTTGGTGGTCAACTTGTAAGCAATTCCCATAAAAGCTGGAAAAGCAAACAGCACATCAGGGTAAACTCTATGACTAATACATTATTTATGTTGCAGCAAGCCTTTTTTCCCCACTGTACGCCTACAACACTGCATACAAGACCTAAATCATGTTGCTGCAGGAAAATAATGTCTGTTACAGCCATGTTTTATTCAAATTAATCAAAAGTTAATATCTCCAAGAAAAAAAAAAGGAAACATTTTAAAATCCTGATGACATTATAATTCCTTACAAATTAAAAATGATCTATGGAGTTGCATCAAAGTAAAAGCACATTGTTATTACATGGAGAGGGTACAGCTCTGTGACAGCAACAGTCCGTGTTGACCCGCGGATCGTGTTGAT